TAAAAATATAAAACATTTTTTAAAAATTAAATATTAAAAAATATAAAATTTTTTATCTTTGAGATATAATCATTATCTTTTTTAAAAAAATACCCCTATTGACAAATAATTTTATATTTATTGTAGGGTGTTTAACATGAATAAATATAAAAAGATAAGGTTAATTTAAAAGTAGGTAATTATTTTATTGAAGGGTGAGATTTGGTTAAAAATGCCTTATCTTTTAAATGGAGGGAGTATAGTCAACCTTATGTACATAATATATTTAATCCAACCAAATCAAATCATAACAAATAGATCTTAATGTGTTAATGAAATTAATAATAAGAATTTATTATAGAATAAATAATTTATATAAAATTTACATGTCTTGATTTAATTAAAAATAAATATATTAAGTAAATAAGATTATTTTTCCCCTATAATTATAATGTATTTATATTAATACACACACATAATAAGTTGTATCATTCACCGGCACTTGACATAGTACATGAGTTTATAAGAATCATTTGTAACAGTAGCCGGTAAAAAAATGTAACCGTGGGTATAATGCACAACCATGTGTCGCTTATTAATCAATGAGTACATGTCAAGTGAGAAATAATTTTGAATATTTGTTATAAAATTAAAAAAATGCACGGTCAGATGATCAAATTATTTTAAAAATATATTTAAACATCATTCTAATTCTAATTAAAAAGTGATACATATATGGAGTTGGAGCAATTATAATTTTCCCATGAAAATGTTTAAATTTACTTCCTTCCTATTAATTTTTTTCCTCTAAAATAAAAGATTTTTTATATATCAGTTGCCTCTGCTGTAAGAAATAAGCTACAGTAGTCTTCGTTTCAATTAAAGTATTCTTCCATAGTACGTTACTACGTAAAATATTAAATACATGTTCAAATATATGTGTGTATATAAACAATAATCAATCATTAAATAAACATTTAACTAACATATAAAAAATAGTCTTAACTTAAACCTAAAAAAATAAAACATTGCAAATAAGTTTGAAAACATTTTTTATAGTTTGTGGGCCAAAAAAAAAACATTTTTAAAGTTTTCTAGTTAACCATTTAATACTATCTCAGATAATAAAGGTGAAATAAGGCATACGTAGATATTAACAGTTAAAGCCTCATGGTGTGACAAAATACTTTTATTTAAATAAAAATTTAATATTATATCCGAGTCATCATTCTTTAATTTAAAATATTTTGATGTGTTACTATCATAAAATATACTCCCCGTGATTTTCATTATAAAACCTTTTAATCGTTTCACATATTTTAAAAAAATTTTTATATTATAAAAAATGAGATGTATTTTTTTATTCTTGTTTTTAAATCATGATATAATTATATTAAATTCATTTATATTAATCAATAAGGGATAAAATTTTAAAAAAGTTGTTTAATTATTACGAAGTGTGTTACATTTTAGATAAAAAATTACTTTTAAAAAGTATTTTGTAAATAGGATTGAAGGGCAAATGTGAGAAAATATTGAAGCAATTAAAATAAAAATTATACTTTTTTATTAAAAATATAAGATATTTTTAATAAAGTGGTTATTTGTCTTCAAACTACTCCCTCTGTCTCTAGATAAAAGAGATTTTCTAGAATCTTTTTTTATTCTTAAATATATGAAGTTGTTAGCATATTTTTTAATGAATGGACTACTATACTCTTATTAAGTTAAAAAAAAAGTACTATCATTAATTTACTTTGAAAAGGGAGTTTGTTTTTTTTATTTACAATATTTGGGGGAAAAATTAAATATTATTGTGCTTTTAATTAGATAACTAATTTTTTAATTTGCGTAATTCAGTTAAAATATCTTATATATAAGAGGGAGTAACATCAACTCTCTATATTTATCTTATATTTAATAGGATGTTTCACTTTAAAATAAATATAAAGTGATTTATTTATCAGGGACACTTACAAAAATAATAATTTTTTTGCCAACATTTTTAAATTCAACCCTTCAAAAAATATTTTATATTTTTTTAACCAAGAATATAAAGTTGAATAGAATATTTGGAAAAATAACTTAGTTCAATATTAATCTATATTGTTAATATTTTTTCCTTAGCATGTCTCATCCTATGTCCAACATATTCACTAGAGGAGAGATGCTGAAAATTGAATTGATAATTTAACTAGTTAAAATATTGGTTTATAGGTTAAAAGTCAAAATCATGATTAATTGCTTATAAATAAATTACTTTATTAAATCAATCAAGATATTAATTTAATAATTTATTGGTTGAATTGATTACATTCACTCGAATTACTATAAGGATGTACAAATGACTGGATATGATTAGACTTTAATCTAATTCAAAGTTTAGTCTCTTTCATAAAAGAATTAGATCAGGTAACCCATAATTTAGTTTGATCTAGTTGTAACTCAAACATTAACAAGGTTAGATTTGATCCATATAATTAGGAGATTGATCTTATTAGTTAGCACTTACTTAGCTTTTTTTTTCCTCTTATGAGAGGTAACAATTCATTTTATCCTAATAAATTTATTAAAAAATAAAAATATTTATAATCATAAAAAATTCATAACAATATCTAACAACAACAAAAAATTAATTAAAATTTAAATGATTCAAATTCATAATTTTAACAACATATTTTAACAATAATTTAGTAACATGCCTAACATACATTTTAACAATAATTAAAAGCAACCGAATTAAAATCATATTAAATAGAAAGGTGAAATGTGAATGAAGGAAACGATGCGTTCAAACTACTTAAATATAAAATATATTTAAAATAATTTCATAGAATCAGATCGGATCAAATGATTTGAAAATTTAGTCTTTTATTCTATCCAACTTGAGAAGTTAGTATAATTTTTTTAGTTTTTTCAGTCTTTTAGACCAATATTTTTATTGGATTGAATAAGATCGAATTTGCTTGGATTGGATTGAGTTAGATGGAACAAGTAAGCCCTAAATTATCATATTACTCCTTCCATTCCAAATTATATGGCATTTTTAAAAGAGTTTTTTTATTTCAAAATATAAGACATTTTGAGTATATTAAGATTATATTAAATGCATAAATTTTAAATTTACCCTTCTTCTCTCTATAATTAATTATGTCCCTTCTTTTTTTTAATTTATACCATAACCTTTTGCCAAATGGTAAGCTTTCTATGAAACATTCTCATGCCCTGCATAGTGGACCCCACCTCGTCACCTTCGCCCTTAAAATCATATAGAAAATAATACTAATAGTACTACACTAATAAACTTAATAATACAAGTTTATTATAAAGTAAATAATTTATATAAAATTTACATGTGTTAATTTAATTGAAAATAAACACATTAAGTAAATGAGATTATTTTTCTCCTATAATTATAATGTATTTATAATCAATACACATACAAGATAAGTTATATTATCCACAGGCACTTGACGTTGTACGTGAGATTATAAGAATCCTCTGTAACAGTAGCCGGTAAAAAAATGTAACCGTGGGTATGATGCACAACTATGCGTCACTTATTAAACAATGAGTACATGTCAAGTGAGAAATAATTTTTGAATATTTGTTATAAATTTTTTTAAAAAATGCACGGTCAGATGATCAAATTATTTTAAAAATATATTTTAAATATCATTCTAATTCTAATTAAAAAAACGATACATATATGGAATTGGAGTAGTTATAATTTTTCCCATGAAAAATGTTTAAATTTACTTCCTCTAAATAAAAAGATGTTCTATATCAGTTGCCTCTGCTGTAAGAAATAAGCTACAATAGTCTTTGTTTCAATTAAAGTACTCCTCCATAGTACATTACTACGTAAAATATTAAATACATATTCAAATATGTGTGTGTATAAACAATAATCAATCATTAAATAAACATTTAACTAAATATAAAAATAGTCTTAACTTAAACCTAAAAAAATAAAACATTGCAATATAAGTTTGAAAACATTTTTTATAATTTGTGGGCAAAAAAAAACATTTTTTAAGGTTTTATAGTTAACCATTTAACACTATCTCAGATAATAAAGGTAAAATAAGGTATACGTAGATATTAACAGTTCAAGCCTCATAGTGTGACAAAATAATTTTTATTTAAATAAATATTTAATATTATATTTGAGTCATCATTCCTTAATTTAAAATATTTTGATGTGTTACTGTCATAAAATATACTCCCTGTGAATTTTATTAAAATTAATCATTTCACATATTTTTAAAAAATTATTTTTATATTATAATGTCCAACATTCAACAAACTTCGGTAGTAACATATATTATACTAATAATTTAAAAATCAATTAAATTAAAATTATATTAAATAAAAATGTGAAATGTAAATGAAGGAAATAATGCATTTAAACTATTTTAAATATATTAAAAATAATTAAAATTATATTAAAATATTCTATCCAATTCAAGAAATTAGTCTAATTTTTTTTAATTTTTTAGACCAATAGTTTTACTGGATTGAACATGATTGGATGTGTTTGAATTGGATTGAGTTAGATTGAACAAGTGAGCTCTAAATTATCATATTACTTCCTTCATTTTAAATTATATGATGAAAGAGTTTTTTTTATTTTAAAATATAAAAATTTTAAGTATATTAATATTTTATTAAATGTATAAATTTTAAATTTATTTTTTTTATAATTAATTTTTACTTTTTAATATATTAAATGATTAATATTGTTAAAAGTTTATATTTTTATTTTAAAAAAATAAAATTATTAAATATATTTAATAAAATTTATTAATATATAAAATTTTATTTAAAAATATTTTATAATTTGAGAGGGAAGGAAGGAGTACCATGTTATAACTATTATGGCATTTCCTTACTCTGTTAAACTCCGCCAATTACCTTTTGCCAAATGGTAAGTTTCTATGAAACATTCTCATGCCCTGCATAGTGGACCCCACCTCGTCACCTTCACTCTTAAAATCATCATCCATCTCATTTTCTTCTTTCGTGACTCCTCTTTCTTCTTCCATCTCAATCCAACTTCTGCAACATCCTCTTCTTCCTGTGCAACACATTCCCTAGCCTCCCCTCCGTTCCCCCCACCCCTTCATGGAGGCCGAAACCCTTTCCCCTCAACCGTATTCCCCAGCTACTTCTCCAAGAAGCCATAACACTTATTGCTGCAAGTCACCCGAATTCGAGTTCTGGATGGTCCGGAACCCCTGCTTCCCTCAACCCAACCTCCACTCCGCCGATCAACTAATCGCCGACGGCGTCCTCCTCCCTCTCCACCTGCTTCCTCTCCAACCCAAATCCCAAACGCCAGAACTAGATCCACCACTTCCAGAAGCAGATCCTCAACCTGACCCGGAAACTGGACCAGAGTCGTCTCCGGCGATAACAGGGTCAGCTATGACGACGGTGCTCTCGGCGTCCAAGCGGTGGAGGGACATGTTTAAGAAGAGTGAGAAGAAGAACACCGAAATGAACAGTCCAGAAGAGAAGGACAGAGGGAAAGGGAAGAAGAAAGAGAGGAAGAGTGGAGGTGGAGGTAGTTCCGCTGAGTTGAACATCAACATATGGCCGTTTTCCCGTAGCAGGTCCGCCGGGGCTCCACCGAGGTTGTTCCCCGGAGCTCCGGTGACTCGGAGGGTCAACAGCGCGCCGTGCTCGCGGAGTAATTCGGCCGGAGAGTCCAAGTCCAGGAAATGGCCCAGCAGTCCGGGTCGGGCCGGAGTCCATTTAGGACGGAGCAGCCCGGTTTGGCAGGTTCGTCGCTCGAAGATTCAAGACCCAAATACTGAAAAGGGATCAAAGAAAGAAACAACCACGACCCATCGGAGTAAAGTAGCCTCCACCACCTCCGCCGCCGGTGCCAAAACCAGGGTTTTGAGCTTGAATGTCCCCACTTGCATCGGTTATAAGCAACATTTGACTTGCAGAAACGACGAGAACAGCGACATTAGTGCGGCGGGCGGCTCCACCAGAAGTGCCACTCGTACCCGTGGCAGAAACGGCGGAGTTAGCGGCGGCGCTGGTAACGGAACCGGAAACAGTGGAAATTTTTTCAATTTTCGCAGCATTTTCAGCAAGAAAAGCGTATTAACGTCTCACTAAGGAGAAAATCTGTAACTACCCACATGATGATAAACTAAAAAAAAAAAAAATCTTTTTCAATTTCTTTTTCTTGTATTTACTCCCTCCGGTCCTATTTATAAGTCATTTTTATCAATCTCATCAATATCAATACAATAAAAGTATAAGGAATAAAAGTAAGTAAAATTTCAAACATACCCCTATATAATAAATCTAAAAAGTAATGTCCTGTTACTTTTTCTCTCTCATGAAGGATAATTTTGAAAATTCCTCTCAAATATTACTTTAAAAGACGCACCGTGATTTATAAATGAGATCAAATACACCTTTTAAAATTGGACTTATAAATGGGACTGTAGGTTTTTACTTTTTTCCATTAATCTTTTTTTTTTTTTGCATGTTTCTGATACTGACAACCGAATCGTTCATTTATCCTATAAAATTAACTAGACGGATTGACTGGATCTTATGCTATATTGTCTAGTGAGGGAAAAAAAACAAGGAGGAGATTTATCCTTTTGAAACTGTGAGTGTATGAGAAAGTTTCTGACTTTGTGGAGGATAGACTTAGAAAGAGACTGATTAACGTTATCTGGGTTGGAATATTTATGCTTTTGTGCTCAAGCTCGTATACTCTGAAGTGCTTTATAAAAGGGTACTTTTGCTCTTGATTTTTCAAGGAGCATCCATTGGTGGAAATAATTCTGTTCTCAAAATAATTAAATTAAAATATTTTTGCCGTTAATATTAAATTTCCTGATAGTAATTTCAATTAATATTTTTAATGATTAATGTAAGAATTTAAAGATAAAGATAAAGATATTTTATTTTAATTATTTTAAGAGTAAGATGTTAAGTGTTTTTCAAAAGTACTTTGAGAAAAAAATATATTTTTATCATTTATTTATTTCTTGTTATCCTGTATGTATCCTGACCTTCCCCACCTCATCTTTCTCTGCAAGTGGCGGGACAGTCACTCACAGTCCTCTGTTTTCGGTATTGACTTGTTCGTCCGAGGCTGCGATATTTTTGTTTTTGCTTTAAATAATTTGAATAGAAGGACGTGCAAATTTACTGTACATCTTCACTCGATCCATCAGTATCCTTCGTTATTTGGGTCATGTAACTTTTTTGTATACATTCTTAAAAGCATGTTTCAGTCCTGATAAACTCTCTGTGACTCTATCACCCAAACTTTTCATGTGATAAAGCGAACGAAGTTACTTAGAAATTATGTTATTCTTATTCTGGGATGTAATAAATATTTCTTAATACAATGATCTATTAATTATTATCGCATCATATTTGAGTCTTACCAATTTAATTAGGGGCACTTTTGTTAACATGGCAACGTGAATATAATATATACTGCATATATAATTTAGTATCGACTCATATTCTTGCTCATACATTCACACCAAATGAAGCCTACAAATCTCTTTTAAGGTTTTAGTTGTCTGGCTTGTATAAAATCCAGATGTATAATTTAATATACAATATAATATTGTAACTGTATTATTTATTTGGCTCCCATAATATATTATATACGATTTATATTCACTGTCTTCTTATAAATTAAAAGGCTAATTAAATTTACAAGGTAATGCTTTAGTGCCATGAGTTGGGGAGTAATGTAAACACTATCTTCTTGCTCATTAAAAGAAAAATGATTCTTTGATATCCAATGTTTTTGTTTTTCGCTCAATAGGAGGGAACTTTATCAATATCACTTTTTCATTCAAATTGGTTTAGACCATCAAATCTTATGTCATATTTAATAGCATTGAATTGGTAAGGTAAAAATGAAATCAGAAATGAAATTCTAATTTAAGTATGATTGGTATGCAAAAGTTACAATTCTTAAAAATTTTAATTTCATAAAAAATGTTAGAATTCAATTCCTTCATATTGGTCATAGAATTGCTTTAATTCCCTTGAATTCAATTTATGAACTCCACTATTCTTATCTTTTTTGTCCATTTATAACAAAGTAGGTCTTTTTAATTTTGAGAAAAAAGGACAATTTAGTCTTTTCTTATTTTAAGTACATATACAAATTACTATTATATTAGAATTTCATATTCATACCAAACACACTTTTAAAATTTAATTCTATTTCAATTTTGATTCCAATTCTGAATCCGAATTCATTAAAAACTCTTCTATCATACCAAACGAAGCCTTATTTATTAGTCATGGATGGAAAACTTTATTTATTCCTTGAACATCTTCAAATAATATAACTATATAAAAAATTAAAAAGTGTTAGTAAATCAAATGAATTTTTATTGTGTGTATTTAAAAAAAATTAAAGGGTGATTCAATTAATTGAACGTAACTCAGCTACTCTATATAACTTGTTATCTGTTAATATAAAAATTTAAAATAAAAAAAATGAATAGCTCAATAAATTTTATGAAATATAAGCGTTGATTCCAAAAATAGGAAAAAAAAAGTATGAATGATTTTAGTAAAACTAATGAAAGGGATATTCAAGCGATGATTTTGTGTTATTTTAGTATTTGATACTTAAGGGATGATCTGTCCTGAAAAGTGATGAAGTGCCGAAAGTAAGGATCTTAGGTGTTAACAAAAACTGATCCCATGTTCCAATGTTTGGCATTTCAATCACACAAACCAAATTTTTTGATCATTGCAAAACAACCTTGGCTGTGTTTGGATTTTAATTAGAGAAAATTGGTTGTGAAAAAAAATTAATTAACAAAACATGATGATGTTTGGATAATATTTTTTAAAATTTATTTTGCAAGGTCAACTTACTAAAAAAAAGAAAAAATAATTTAGAGTGTCAAAAACTAAATGAAATTTGAAAAAATTGGCAGTGTTTGGTTAGCTTATGCAAAACAAAGTTTCTAGAATCAAATGGGGTTTAGGAAAACTGAGAGCATTTAGAAGATCTTTTCCAAAACTATAATTTTGGATCTCATAATTAATTTTAAAGGAATATCCAAACAAGCCCCTTAAATTTAGATTCCTACATGTTTGACCAAACTGATTTCAACATCCAAAGATCTTCAAACATGTGCCCATATTCCACACACCCTAAAATCCCACTTCAATAACAATAACAAGCATTATTTTAAGTTAAAATATATATTTAATTTTTTAATTTTACATAATATTTTATTTTAATCTATTAACTTTAGAAAGTGTCTTTTTAGTTCTTTAAACTTGATACTATTAGTTTTATTTCAATAAATTTTTACATTAAACTTTTAAATATTAACAAAATATCTTCAAATATTGATATATTAAGTTTAATTTTTTTAAAAAAATAATAATGATTGAAACAAAAAATAATCATTTGATATTAACAATGATAGGATTAAAGGATTAAAAAGATATTTTATAAAATTAAAGGATCAAATTTAAACCTTATATAAAGTTATAGAACTAAATGTATACTTTAGTCATTATTTTATTATGTTGAGTTACTTACGCTTACACTATATCATTGTTATTTTATTAATAACCAATATTTTTAGGTATATTGATAACTAAAAAGTCTTGTATAACAATTTCAGTAAGATTACTTTTGGATGTATAAGGATTTGAATTTGAATTTTTATTTTTATTTTTATTTAAATTTCAACTATATCCCTAATTTATATATATAAAAATTTATGGATCTATGTTTTATTATAATTTTTTTATAATTTTAAATTTTCTATAAACCGTCGTTATTTAAAATTTAGCTAGTCCAACGCTCTCTCTCTCTCTCTCTCTCCATGTTTTCACTGTCATATTTTTTTTTTGGTAATAAAAGGGTCTAAATTTTGAGATTTAAGAATGGTACGCTGTGATTGAGATTGCATTATTCCATAACTGGGCTTAGGATCTCGCGTATTTTGTTCCTCCATGTGAATTGGGCCAATTAGAGACTTCATCAAGAAATTGGGTCTCCAGTTTTATAATTGTCCGAATACTGCACATGCATTGTTCTTGTTTCTATTCTCTATTTTTGGGAGAAATGCATGTGGATGATTAAAAATAGGGAAAATCGCAAACACGGAGGACAAAACCACAAAATTACGAAATGGAATTTTAGGGCCATGGTCCTTTTTTGTAGTTTCAAAAATAATAATTTGACTAAAATGTTCCAGAATGATGACTAAGCTTGTAAGTCTTGGAGGAGAAAATTTTCCAACTCAAATAAAATGATTTCATAATGCTCTTCAAATAAATTTCCAACTCAATTAAAATGATTTCAGAAGTATTTGTAAATTTTAAGTTTGTCAACTACAAATTTGAGAGTAAAAATATTTACAACTCAATTAAAGTAATTTTTATAGCGGAATCAACTATTTAAAGCTATTAAAATGATGGGAAAATGACAATTACAAGCCTTGGAAAGGCCATGACAATTTCAAATCTTGAAAAAGTGAAATCTCTTTAAAAGATCATAGTCTTTATTCAGAATTAAAACTTTAATGAGTTTATGAAATTACCCTTATGAACAAATGTAGCAAATTACTTATCCAAGTCTCATTTATTTAGCATGAAATCCTTATTGTCTCGTCAAAGTTGCTCAGTTTGTCTTTAATATTGGTTTTTGGATGAAGTGGAGCATCTTGTAACCCATCTCTTGGTTTTCGATAGAGTGGGTCATCTTGAAATCCATACATGTGCATTCCTCTATTTTTCTAGTTTAAATATGTGAACCTGTGGTTGGTTTGAAAGTGTTATAACTATTGAAATCACTAACATATGATGAGAGTATTTTTAAACATAGTTGCAAAAACTAGGAATCATATTTGAATAGACTGTTTCCAAGTTTGATTATTAGTTTTCCCAATTACATCGAAAATGTTCTCAACTCATGTTAGCTAGTTCCAATAGTTAACACTTGTCCAACAAATTACATGGGCATATATTTAAACGAAAAATAAAGATATGTCAGCATTATACTAGCGTTATATCTCATGAATGTTAGCTAATTTCATAATTATATCCAACCAATTTTATTCAGAATGTTAGCTAATTTCAATAGTTAATCCTTCTAGATGCCAATTACATCATGAATCTTTTTCATTGATAATTACCAGAACAGAGGACCTTCCCTACCAACATTATTATATA